ATGGATGGATGATGGATGGATGGATAGATGAATTATGGATGGATGGATGGATGGATGGATGATGGATGGATGGATAGATGAATTATGGATGGATGGATGGATGGATGATGGATGGATGGATGATGGATGGATGATAGTTTCACAGTATTTACTGTTTAATCATGTTTGAGCCAAAACATTCCAGATTTTACTGCTCAGGTTGCACAAAAATTATTATGGTTTCATGATTTCACAGAATGTTCCCAGTTTTATTACAGCAACTCTGACTTTTACTTTGAATCAGCAACAGTTGTTTTCAATGAAACATTTAACAATTTTTTTCCAGTATGTGCAGGAATCACAATAAAACAATGTGCATTACTCAGTAACTGAAATTACTGTGTTTTCTGGGTTTATGTGTCTTCAGTTTTTCCATTAGCTGCTCGTAAAGTAAGTTCAAAGGGCCACGGTCGGGTTTTCTTTACTCGACTTCACCTAATTTTATTTGTGTTTTTCTGAYAAGAAATTTCAACAATACCTTTTGTCACTTGGGTTAATAGTGTGATAAATATACGAAGTTTTACAAATTTTATTCTCCTCTCATCAGCTGCATCAAAACCAGTCTTAAAAAAATTGAGCAATAAGAGCATAATCATCCAGCAATGTAATTGTATACATTTCTTTAATTGGATTTTGTAAACTTTAAAAATCCTTTTGTAGAATTAAATAATAAATAGGCCCCATGATGGTCCTAATATTAAAATAAACAAGCAGAGCAGGGCTATTCAACTAAATCACTTGGGGGGGCCGGGGTTACTTGAAGCCCACAGCTCAGGGGCCTGACAGTACCAGTCAGTACCGGGGGGCAGTGCCCAGTAATGGTATAAACACTGCAGCATCTTTTACTTTTACATTAATTCTGTTGCATTGAAACATAAATTTACAATTTACAAGTGATTTGAAACTCATTTTAACAATAAAATACAAAAAAAAATTATTAAATCAGTGGGGCTCATTGGTGGGCCAGATGGAAGTCACCCACAGGCTGGATATGGCCCGTGGACCACCAGTTGAAAGGCATTCAAAAAAACACATACATATTCTTCTCATTGCTTATTATTGTTATAACTTCTATAAGCTTCTAAGTTACAAAATCAAATCAATCTTTAAATCTGTTTATATTAGAAACCACTTGATCAACTTTTACATTTTAATAAACACGGTGTTTAATTCTCAGCTCTCACTTTATTAAACTCTCAAGTTCAACTAAAAGGTTTTTGATTCGTTTTAGTCCCCGTTTTTTTTTAAAGTTCCTGATAACTGAAATAATGTTAATCCAGCTAATCTCACTTGAGTGATATCCAGAATCAACAATCCTAACTTTTCTAAAAATACTTAGTTATTTTTATGTCTTTACAGACATACCTGACATGTTTCGACGAGTCGAAACATGTCAGGTATGTCTGTAAAGACATAAAAATAACTAAGTGTSTAGTCATAAGGAAATGTTTTAAGATTGATCATATAGACACACTTCATTAGATTTTTCCAAAAATAATTTGGGGAAATTAACTTGATTAAAAAAGGATTTTTAACTTTAAATTTATTAAGTTTATCTCATTTTGGAGAAAAATCTCTTCGTTTCCTGTTCTAACTCCTAATTATATATTTATTTTGAAAGAATATGTATAAAAAACTTATGTTTGTGTACTATTTTGTTTATTTTTACTTGGCATATTGTGTTGCTACTGTCTTTTTTTTACCAGCTGTGTGATGCTGATGGAATTTTAAAAGACTTTTTCCAAGAAATCAGTAAAGTTTTATCTAATCTAAAGAATTTAGAAAAGAAAAAATTCCAACCTTGACCTTTGTGACGTTTCATTAAGCGCTGCACCTTCAGGAACAAATACACGGCTCACTGAACCGCTAACACTAAATACACTAATGCTTTGCTTAATGGCTTTTTCAAACGTTCAGTGTTTGTCATTTTTGTGTTGCATCGTGTTTTAAAACATTATTAGTTTGTACCAAATGATCAGTGGCCTGTAAAATACTCAATATAATTTAAAAAGTGACTTTCACCTTTGGTTTTATTKTTGTTGCATTAAAGAGTCTCAGGTTTGAGGCGACTGATGTAATTGTTCACGACTTCATGAGATTGTGTTTGTTGTAGATTCGCTGCATGTTAAACATCTGGGGAGTGATCTTGTACCTGAGGCTGCCTTGGATCACGTCTCAGGCTGGGATCGGTACGTTCGACTTTCATATTTAAATGAAGGTATCATTTAACCCCACSCTGTCAGGTTGTTCAAAGTTAATGTGCTTGAATTTATTGCATATTTGCAGTTTCACACAGTGAATTTTTTTTATGCACGTGCAATTTTTTTTCAGTTAAATAACGTTTCAGTAGAAAATCCATGCAAGCTCATGAGACCTCTTGTTTAAATAACAACTGGTTCTTTTGCATAAATATTGTCCCTTCTAGTGACAGTAGGGCAGATACACCCCCAGTATGGAATGCCGTTTGTAAAAATACAGTCAAAAATTTATTTTTCAAAGTCAGTTTTTCACCATGTTATTATAAATGTCATAGTTTACAAACAAAATATTTAACTTGCAAA